ACCCCCCCCCCAAAGCACAGGGGACCCCCCAAATGTGGGGGCACTGACCCGCTCCAGGCTGGAGGCGTCGCGGAGCAGCGAGAGCCACTGGAGGCGCAGCTGGAGCCGGCCCTGCCCCCCCTCCTGCAGCGGGAACCACTGGGGGGGCAGGGGGGGCTGAGTGAGGGACCCCCGGGACCACCGGGGCCATCCCGGGACCAGCCGGGACCAGCCGGGACCACCGGGACCATCCCGGGACCACCGGGACCCCCGGGACCACCGGGACCAGCCGGGACCCCCGGGACCACCGGGGCCACCCCGGGACCACCGGGACCAGCCGGGACCCCCGGGGCCACCCCGGGACCACCGGGACCACCCCGGGACCACCCTGAACCCTCCTGGGACCCCCCAGGGACCACCCTGAACCTCCCCGAGACCACCCTGAACCCTTCTGGCATCACCAGGACCCCCCCGGGACCACCCTGAACCTCCCCGGGACCACCAGGACCACCCCGAACCCCTTGGGACCACCTGGAACCCCCTGGGACCACCGGGACCATCTCGAACTCCCCGGGAACACCCCGAACCTTCCTGGGACCACCCCCAAGCCCCCGGGAACACCTTGGACAACCCCGGGACCACCCTGAACCCCCCAGGACCACTCGAACCCCCTCGGGACCACCGGGACCATCCTGGACCCTCCTGAGACCGCCCTGAACCCCCCGAGACCACCCGGGACCATTGGGACCACCCTGAAGCCCCCGGGACAATCCCGAACCCTCCCGGGACCACCGAGACCACCCCGAACCCCCTGAGACCACCCTGAACCTCCCCGGGACCACCGGGACCCCCCCTGGGACCACCGGGACCACCTCGAACCCTCCAGGACCACCAGAAGCTTCTGGGGGGCGACCACCACCCTTGGACACCCCCAGAACCCTCCCAGGGTCACCGGGAGCTGCTGGGGGGCAACCAATGACCCCGAACCCCCCCCAAACCACCCCGAATCCCCCCGGGACCCCCCCCGGGACCCCCAAACCCAGCCCCCCCAGCACCCACCTCCTCCATCACCCGAGCCCTGAGCACCTCCCCGAGGTCCAGCTTCATCCTGGGGGGGGAAACACCCGCAATTTGGGGAGGGGGGGGTTTGAGGGAGTGGGGAGCAGCCCCCTCCTCACATTTGGGGGGTGGGGACCCCCCTCACCTGCCCAGGAGATCGTCCTTGTCGGGGTCTTTGTCGAACAGCTCCACCTCCAGCTCCTGGCCCGGCACCTCGTGCACCATGAACTGGGGGGACAGCGCGGCTGGGGGGGGCCCCGTCCCCCCGGGGGTGTCCCTGTGTCCCTCCTGGGGGTCCCCGTGTCTCCCCGGGGGTGTCCCTGTGTCCCCCCGGGGGGTTTGGGGTGTCCCCGTGTCCCCCCTGGGGGTTCCTATGTCCCTCCTGGGGGGTCCCCGTGTCCCTCCTGGGGGTCCCTGTGTCCCTCCTGGGAGTCCCCGTGTCTCCCCGGGGGTGTCCCCGTGTCCCCCCGGGGGGTTTGGGGTGTCCCCGTGTCCCCCCTGGGGGTTCCTGTGTCCCCCCGGGTGGTTTGGGGTGTCCCCGTGTCCCCCCTGGGGGTCCCCGTGTCCCTCCTGGGGTGTCCCCGTGTCCCCCCAGGGGGTCTGGGGTGTCCCCGTCCCCACGGCCCAGCTGGGGACACTCACAGCGCCAGGGAGGAGGACGGGGAGGGGGGGGGGTCTCTGCAGGTCCCCCTGTCCCTGAATCCCCCCCCGAGTCCCTCTGTCCATCCCGTGTCCATCCCTGTCCCTCTGTCCATCCCTGTCCCTCTGTCCATCCCTCCCTCCATCCTCGGTGTCCATTCCTGGATCCTGTGTCCATCCCTCCATCCCCCGTGTCTGTTCTTCTGTCCCTCCCTCCATCCATCCCCC